AAAAAAAAAAAAAAAAAAAAGATATATATCATTAATTAAATTATGAGTTTATTGCATACTTAGTCATACTTAGCTACTTTAGCTTCTTTACCCTCTTTCTTGCCTTTCTAACAAATATATTAAATCTTACTGGTTTCCAGAGTTTGCCCTCTTAGCTTGCATCTTTATTAAATTATGAGTTTCACCCAGCAACATATAAACTATTATAATCTGATCAAATTGAGGTTGTTTGCTTTGTTGTCTATTCTAAAAATATAAAGTAGTAGAATTTAGTTAATGAACAGTGAAGTTTTCTGGAAAGAAATACGTCTTTTTGTAGTCTAGACTGTATGAGAAGTATTAGGATGAACCATGTGAAGTTGCTACTTTTTGTAAATTTAAAAGGATAAAAATGGGAAGTATCATAAGGGTCAACACAAATATATTAATAAATTTCATTTCAGTCTATAGTATGTTTATTGCTCATTTATCCAGTTAGTATTTTCTCATTAAATATTTTTAATCTTTTTACTAGGCCATTTCCTTTTGTGGCAGATTTCCAGTTTGTATTGTTGTTTTACTATGCTTTGATACTAAATTTGCATTTTAAAATACAAGATATCTTCTAAGGTCCTAAATTAGGCACTACTATGGAAATCAGTAAAACAATTTCTTAACAAACATGGTTTTTTTTAAAAGAAAGTTAGAATTTTGAGGGAAATATAAAAAAATGCTCAACTGTTTTACAGACATAATCTGGTAAATACCACTTACAGAATGTTCTATCATGTGCACTCAGTTGCATCTGATGCTTTGGTTTAAAGAGGAGAAAGCTTCTATCTTGGCAGAAGTACTAACAAAATATGAAGGAGATGCCACCTACTAGAAAAAAGGCAGTCATTTAGTGGCAGGATCAAGAGTTGGACATGAAACTGAACACTGACTGTGACTTGTAAATTATTTAAACTATATCATCTCAGGTCTTTATCTTTGAAGGATAAAGTTTACATTAGTGATTTTCATTCTTTCTGCAAAAGAGGGGCTGGTATTAGTTACTTTCTCATTGCTAGGATAAAATGCCCAACACCCACAATTTAAAGGAGGAAAGGTTTATTTGGCTCACAATTTGTAGAGGTTTCAGTCCATAATTGACTGGCTGGCTATAAGGTAGGGCGGCATGGCACATGGACATGGCTGAGAAGAAACGGTCCATAGCAGGGTAGGCAGGAAGCAGTGAAGCAATGCTCCCCTTCCTTTTATCTCATCCAGGCTACAAGTCTTTTGGGGGGTGCCACTCACATCCAGGGTGAGCCTTTCTATTATCTACACCTAGAACTATGCTAAAGCAATCAGTGGACTAATTTAGTATGAATTTAAACATATCAATATTTCTGTTCATTACAAATAGTATTCATATTGATAAATTGTCATTTTAGTTGGTAGGGACCTTTTCAAAAACATCTTTTAGTATTTCACTAGTTACTGCTTTTAATATTTTAAATGGTATTTTATATATTTCTCTTGCTAATATATAGACATAAATTTTTATATTCATCTGATAGTAAATCAATTCTGTAGTTTATTGTAGAGGCTTTCAGATGTTCTTCAAAGTGCTATCCTGTGTGAATGACAGATGTAGTTCTATCCCTTGTCTTGCTTTTTTGTGCTGCCCATGACATGTGAATAGAAGTACTGAGTGATTTCCTGATCTTATATGGAAACTATCTGTTGATATCTATCTTATGAACATGATACAAATAATTTTAGATAGATTATTTTTGTTACAGCAGAATTTTCTGCCTCATGATGTGCAAGTATTTCTCCAAAGACCCTTAGTTCCTTATAATGGAAAGTTGTGTTTAGAAACCAGTTTCAATGCTAAGTGTATGTAAAGAAGTAGGTTAGTAATTTTCCTCCTAAAATTTTTTTTCCCAGAGCACAAATTTTAGATACACCCATTTAAGATATTTGTTTATGGGCCAGGGATTAGCTGAGCAGTTCGGTGGCCAGCCTTGCAAGTGCAAGGACCCGAGTTCAGTCTCTGGCACACACACACACAAAAAAGATATTTGTTTATATTGAAGTTCAGGTTTCAAATTCATGTATACAAGCCAAGTGTGGTTGTGTACACTTGTGGTCCCAGAAATCTGGTGAGTTGAGGCAGGAATATCAAAAATATTAGCCCAATCTGAGCAACTTAGTGATTTAGAGCAAGACCACCTCTCATGGAGGTTCTGCCACCTGCTTCACAAGTGCAAGCAGTCAACTGAGTTCAATCCCCAGTACCAAAGAAAGCAAAACAAACAAACAAAACCGCTCAAGGAACTGGGATATAGCTCATAATGTTAATTAAACTTCTTCAATCTTCTGTATCTCTTTTTCTCCCACACCAAAATTTCAATTCCTATTGATACCAAAAATACTTAATTTTTCCATCACACACATACATAAATAGACATTTCAGAATAGCAGTACTATTGGTACCATCAATATGATCATTGAAAAAATACAAATTTATTTTTCTCTTCAGTATATACACAGCCAATGTAGTTTATGGTACCTTCTTTGTACTTATGCCTCCAACTGAGGACAATTAAGATTTTATTGAATCTGACTTTCAGTAGTTTAAAGCTGAGGTTCTGAAGTTATATGAAAATATGAATATGCTTAGCATGTATAAGGCCCTTGGTTCAATCCCCAGTACCAAAAAAATACCAAATCTGGGAGTAGTATCAGCAAAATGGAAGGCTAGAGTGCTTGGCATGCTTTCCTCGACAAGGACTAAAGCAAAGAAAAAAGCAATAGCTATTCCACTGAAATGAGCAAGGCAGAGTCCCAGAATGTAGTGGGCGATATGGTAAAGATGTTGTAGAATATAGAGATATATGATGGCATTATAAGAAAGAGAACTACACGTGGCACTTACTACCTCATCTGACGATTAAGCTTGAATCAAGAGGACTTCCAACAGTCCACGCTCATTAGCAACTTCTAACCTTTCAATTAGGAATGTACTGTTTCCTGTGGCTATTATTCTAAATGACACTAGACAGATTCTCTGGGGAAAATTTTAAGACATTAAACCTGAATATCTGCTTTCTTTGGCATGAAGAGCTGAAAACACTTGGAGAAGTATTTTCATATAACTTTTGTACTTGTCACTTTCAAAAATATGCATATGTCTAAGGGCTTTTAACATAATCTTTCAGTTTTAATATAGTTCCTTAGTTCATCTTAGTCCCATTTTCTGATAATATTTTGTAGCTTTTCCTCTGTCCTTGCACCTATAAAGACCTCTACTCTCCCTATCATTTCCAGTGGATGATTGTTCTTGATATTTCTTTAGTAAGAATAGTCTTATAGAGAAGATCATATACTATAGTAAATCTGCATGTTTCCATAAATCTTATTTTCTGTTTGTTCCCTTTTGAAAATGGCTAGTTTTTTCCTTCCTTCCTTGTGACTATCTTTTTTCACCTTTCATGGGCTTCTGTAATTATATTCCTTGTGCCTTCATTATAAATTGTTTTCCTTCCCTACTGAATATTCACATTCAGCTTTAAACTAACTCTAGTATCTATCATTAAAATTAATCTGGTGACCATAAATATTGTTCGTTGATACTGTCTTCTTGCTATTGCCTTCACACGGTAGAAGGGCAAGCGGGGGCTCTCAGCTTTCTTGGCTTACCTGTGATTGCACTAGTTTCAATCCCAAGAGTTGTGCCCTCAAAGAACTAATTGCTTCCTAAAGGTGTCATCTAATACTACAAAATAGGGGCTTAACATCCCAACATACAACTTTGTAGAGTACACAGATATTTGTACTATAGCAGATAATATCCAAGAAAGACAAACACAGAAGGGCAGCTCAACCTTAAGAGTGCAGACTCAGCTGAAGAAGGGGAAGTTGCAGCTTCACTGGGTTTTTGAAAAGTAGATTC